ATTACTTGTTCTACAATTTTGCCGTCCATTTCTAGTTTGCATCTACGCTGCTCTTTACTGATCACCATACATTTAGTTTTTTCTACTGATATTCTCATATTTTGTTTGCTGTGATATTGAAGGTGGGGAGCTGCCTTTGTAGGTCATTTGCGTTATCAGCAATTAGTACTGCATCATCGGCATAGTATTGTGATTTTATGCGCTCCCATGTGGTATCCGTGTCTTTTTCTTACTTGCACATAAAATATATACATAGAATGAATTCTATGCATTCTGTTTTTTCTGTTGGCATTATAAATCTGGTCTTGTTGTTCTTGTTAATTTCGTCAATTGTCCTTATTATCTGACGGTCTATTTGTTTAGCTTGTAATAAATTTAAGATGTCATTTTGCTTCATCCTGTCAAAAGCACTTTTTAAATCTACAAAGCACATGCATGTTGGTTTTCCATATTCAATAGATTTCTCTATTATTTGTCTGATAATAAAAATTGCGTCTATTGTGCTGCGGTTCCTCCGGAAGCCTTGTTCATCTACCATGTTCGCTTTTTCCTCGATTTTATCTTTTATAAATGCCGTTAACAATTGCTAAACTTGTGTTGTGTAATCATAATTTGTTTAATCTGTAGGGGGTATAATTTTTAATAATGTCGAAATAATCAAAACAAGCCAAATAACGCAAGAAAAAATTATTTATTTTACATTTATATTATCCCATTAAATTACAAAAAATAAATTCCACTTAGAAAAATAATTATGAGGCGAGTAAGAACCTATGAAGAGAGCATCACGTGACTAAAAACGACCTCACTTCGGCCATATTGTTATGATCGTTGTATCACATCGTGTATGATTGTTGTTTTTAGAATATTTTTTAGTTTCAATGCTTTTATAGTAACAGTAATATTACATTTTGATAGTGCAATATAATAGTTTATTGTTCTCAACGTAGTTGCAGTAGAAGTAGCAATGTTGATAAAAAATCTTGAGGAATAACTTTTCATAGGTTAGTATATAGTTAGTAGCATAGTTAGTACAGGGCAAAACCACACCGCTTTCGCGCAGCAATTTCTAAAACCACAATTGCCATTTGGATCGCCAACCTTCGAAAGGACTTGGTGGTCTTGATGGTCTCATCAAAATGACACGCTATCAAATCCACCAATTGTTCTTGCGAATAGTTGTATTCTAAATGTTGCGCATTGTTATTGTTGCGCTTTCTTCGGATAGTGCTTTTCTTTATCGAATTTTCCATTTTGAAGTTCATTGTTAATTTCCATCTGTTTTGTTTTACCCCAAAAATATTTCAAGAATTTCGTCTCAAAATCCTTCCATGACACTAATGTATTATACTTGCTTTCAAACCACAGTGCTGCTCCATCCGGTAAACAACTCCTTATTACTTCTTTGCAATCTTCAAAATTTCCTGTGTATTGTAATTTATTTTTAATTATTCGAATGAAAAAGGTAGATTTGATATTTCAATATAACATTTTATTTACTTACACTAATCTTAAATAAAATCCTAATTTGAAAAGTCCAAAATTTTACCGTAAATCTAAAATTGAATAAAGCCTCTTTTCTTCACAAAGCCATATAACATCACAATCATCGAGCAAAAAGACAAAAGAGGGAATCTAATCGTTATAAAAAGGAGACCAAAAAAGTGGCCTCTGATGGCGGACATATCCGGAAATGCGAATGCGCCAAACTTAAATTGTCCGACACTTATTAACAGTAGCTATAAAATAGTTTTCAGAATGTGTCTTAGACGAGAAACTTTGAATATTAACGATAACCGTCTAAAGTGTGACACAATTGTTAAAAAACTTCAATATAAATAAGCTTTCATGTGACAGTTGGGACAAACAATAACATAACCCAACTAAATGTGATTTATTAAACAAGGAAAGATTCTCTTTCTTTGTTTAATTTGGCCTCTCAAGATGGCATTTCCTGTCTAACGATATTTTTGCCCCCACTACCTTTACATTCCCTCTTTTGTCTTTTTGCTCGATGGTCACAACACAACAAAATTAAACCGTATATATCTAAATATGATATACCTATAACATGATTTTACAAAAATTTTGTGTCTTCTTCTTTTTCTCTATTAATTTTTCATTATATACCTTTTCGGATCATATCAATATATATATATATATATATATATATATATATATATATATATATATATATATATATATATTTGTCTTATTTATGAATGATTGTATATAATTAATCCTTAACAGCTATTCTTGAGAGTACTCAAAATATCTTATATCTAAATATCTAAATCTAAATATCTTAAAATTTCTACACAGTACTTCGATTGTGATTTTCGGCAGATATTTATTGTTGTTTGTTTAATAATAAATTGTCTAACTTTGTTAATTGAACTTTTGTCAAGTATGTAACGAACTTTGCACAGCGTTCAGTTAATTTGAAGTTTTTTTGTGTTTTGCCTTGGACAATTATTGTCATTCAGCCAGTCTCAATCAAGATAAGTTTATTAATGTAGTGTGTGTGTGTAGAGTAATTGTCTTGATACTTAGCAAAGTCGACGTCATTGTCTTTGCTAAGAGACCCTAATTGTATCCGAACGTCTGCGGTCCCTCCGGTGAGTACCGATCGCACAAGGATAGAAATTATTTTCATTCATTAATTTTGTTAATAAACGAAAATTTCTCCACCCAGGTAAGATTCGAACTCACGACCTTTAGGTTTAAAGGTAGGCGCCCTTACCACTGAGCCAGATAGGTGGTTAAATTTGAAAAAATCAAATACATAAGTTGTAAAACGAACGTATTTATTTTATACCATACCATATATTTAGTTTACCCTTTAAAATATTATTTTCCGCAAATCGCCAGGAAATTTTGACATTCCTGTCAAAATTTCTTGAAGAAAAAGTCATGACTTCCTTACTGTAAGGAAATGTCATTTCCTTACTGTAAGGAAATGATATTTCCGTACAGTTGTTAGTGTTCTACATAAATCATAAAAGTTTGACAATTCAACCTCAATACGTTTCCATAGTAACCCAAGTAATTTTATTAGGAATTTCAAAGCACCATTTATTTGGGAATAAAATTATCGCGTTTTTTTTAAATCAATATCTGTCGAATTTTAAACGAAATGGGGAAAAATAGTATGTTTACCTCGAAGGAAAAGCCACATTCCTGGACTCTGTGTTGCTAAGTCTCGGCTTGCGCCTCTACTTAGCAATCTTCACAGTCGTCCAGGAATGTTAAGCTTTTCCTACCCGGTAAACAATGTACTATTATATTAGTATCTCTTTCAGGTACAAATTATTACTTGACTCTATTATTTATTCCTTATATATTATGTATACCTATATGTTGTATTTTTAGTGTTTACAGCGGGATATAATTACTCTTCCCTACTCTTTTTGTTCCCATCTAGGAACCATCTGTATCTTTCTCGTATTGTTTTTGTCTTATTTTCTTTCCATCCTCGCCACTTTATATCTTTCACGTTATCGCTTTTATTTAATTTTCTATCCATTTTAGTATTTACTAGGTTTCCCTGTTCCTTGAAAAATAGGGTGGTGCCCAAAAGTTTCTTCTCTTACGTGCATCATGTAATAACAAGAGAGAGACTAGAAAATTTTACAAAGAAACCAAGCAATACACCCAAGGAAACATGACAGGATCAACAGTTTGCACGGATAAAAATGGTGCAATTATCAGTGAGAAAGAGGAAATAATAAAAAGTTGGAAGGAGCATTTTCAAGAGCTGTTAAACACAGAAAAAAAAAGAAAACGAAGATGAAGAATTAATTCACCACACAGCAAAACAACTAGTTGAGCAACCAACATTGGAAGAAACGCTAAACGTCATAAAACATCTAAAAAATAACAAAGCACCTGGCACAGATGGAATAACTGCAGAACTGATAAAGAATGGTGCATTTTATAAACTAATCGACCGCATATGGACACTAGAAGTCATCCCAAAATATTGGAAAGTAGGAATCATACTTCCTATGTACAAAGGGAGAGACAAACGAGGAATCGTTTTCGGGGGAGATGATTGGTGAATACCAATGTGGCTCCAGACCAAAGACGTCAACTACAGACCAAATACAACATATCTATTTACAAGTTGTATATCTATTTCAAACAGGCGTTTGATGGAATAGATTGACAAAAGATGTTAAAGCAACTATCTACGTTAGCGATACCCAATAAGTTGGTTAAACTTATACGAATGACTCGAATAATTTAAACTTACGAATGGAGGGTTCCAAAGCTATGGTGAGAATAGATGGAGATATGACCCAGACCTTCGATATTGAAAATGCAGTTAGACAAGGTAATGCCTTATCAACAACACTTTTTAATCAAACGTTAGAAGCTGTTGTTAGAGAACTGGATATAAACGGCTGTATTAATACAATATCACTGCAAATATGCTCATATTGTCGGCTTAGTGACACAAAAATGTATCTTAAAAATGACTACTTTTCAGGAGAGCATATTTAAGGTTTTTAAAAAGATGATTTGCATTTTGTAATGACCTGTAGTATATTCTCAACTTTTTTGTTCCGAAGTATTAATCTTAGAAATGTTTTCATTGTCGTAATACAATCATACGCAACAATGGATAAATTGTGTTCTCAAAATATCAACAATTAGATAAAGTAGCGGAGATACATTTTTGTGTCCCTACCTGAAAAGTCTATTGAGACTTACGTAGGTACGTAAAGAGGGATCTTAAAGCCATGAACATCAGGCAGTGGCGAAGGAAAGTATCCGACAGGGCAGAATGGACATTGGACAATGAAACATTGTTAAGCAGGCCAATACTTACAAAGGATTGTAGCGCCATTAGAAGAAGAAGAAGAAGCATCTTGTATACCTACGTTTGAATCAATTTGTTTCCTAAAGTTTGTATAGTCGTGCAGTTAGTAATTTTAGTGTACATCATTATTTTTACATGATTTTTTAATTGCTACTCAATGACAACACCTTTAATTTTGCTTGAATCAATCATAATTTATTAAAAATATATTACATTTTTTTAGATTATGTTTAAATCTTCTGAATAACTAATCATAATAATTGTATAATAGTTTCAATATTATTGAGTCCGGCTTCGATCTTACTGCCATATTGGTATGATGGTTAGCCAGACCTTCCGACGCCATTTTTAACATACAGGTTTATATGCTCATAGCTTTTCCATAGATTCTACCTCGATGCTATAATGTTTAATTAGAAGAAACACATTTGATCACGGCGTTGTTGCCTTTTTTATAATAATATATAATAATATATACTGCGTTTTTATTGTTGTCCTTTTAAAATAACATGACATATTTTGACAGCTCCTGCAAAAATTAACATTTTAGTAATTTTTGTCGTTAAATAAGACACGTTTCCTTATATTTACTTTAAGTAAAGATAAAATTAAAAAAAAATGGTTTCAGTAATTTGTGGGTTGGTGCCGTGCATTTCAGTGTAGGGGTCCACCGTAAATTGTCATATGAGAAACCATCTTGCATGGTTAGGATCAAATTATTTTATTTTTGACAATATTGCGAAGAATTTCATACTTGTGAATTCCTGTCCTATTCGAATATTAGGGTGCCATTGCATCTTTTTACGTCCTAAACCTACCTCTCTTACCCTTTTGATTTCCTTTTAGTACTAGTTGATGACAAGTGTATCGTTCACCTCGTAAAATGTGCCCTAAATATGCAGTCTTCCCTATTCTGGAGCTCCGCTCTTCTTAATACTTTTTCATTTCATGATACTCTAAGTATTCGGTTCAGGCACCCTATTTCAAAAACTTTGTTTGTTAATGGATCTGGCCTTCAACGTCCATGATCTCATTCCATACAAGTAAACAAACCAAACGTAATACTTTATCATCTTGTATTTCAGGTGTAAATCCTTTTCGTCATTGTTACAATTTATTCACTTTTATATTCTATACATATTATATACATATACCTTTAGTGATTTTCCTTATACTTCAACTTGAGCATTATTTTTTGTTAGGTTCACTTTCTGAACTACTTTTATTTCTAAAGCTTTTTATTTTTTATTCGACTGCGAAGCATATCTTCTATCTCCTTACTACCCATTTATGTTCCAAATGTTAATATTTTCCTTGGTTATATCAAATATTGGTAAATATGTCTAGTCTTTTATGTGATAGGTTTCCTTACGTCTTTTAGTTTATTTTCCATGTAGTTTTACACATAAACATAACTGTTTTATATTTTCCCAATGTTTCTCCATTTGGTCTTTCTTACTTATGGTGTTTTACTTTCTTGTTCTGTTTTGATTTTTTGGTGTCGATTTCAGCGTTTTAATGTCTGCTATTAAGTGATTTCACCATGTCAATATTTATTGAAATTATTTGTGAAACGGCTGACACGTTTGCAGCAAAAAGATATTTTGTGGGTTCAGTCTTTAGATGTTTTCAATGTCTTAGTATTTTTGTAGCTGTGTTTCTATTAAATAAACTTCAAATCTTCAAATGTGTCAAAAATCTTAGCCTAACGTTATTATGTAAAAAAATCATTGTTATTCGTTTCTCCTCTTCAATCCCAGCCAGATACTTTTATCAGGTTTCATGTTAAATGTCTTTGGTGAAAGGCTTACCGACTTCAGTGTCTTTTTTGTTGGAACAATTTCAAAATGGTGCAATATATAAAAGCACAGTATTTTGGTCTCCATAAGTGCAAATCTGGACCCTATACAGTTCCTTGGTCCTATACCGAAAGGTATATAACTGCCTTGGATAATGGCTGATTTGTTATCTTCGTTAAACCGCTCTGGGTCGAAATTTTCTGGTTCGGGATAGTACTTAGCATCGTGATGGATGGCGTAGATTGGGATCCAGACAACTGTACCAACTTCTAAAGTTATTGGACTCTCGTGAGCAGTAGTGGCTTCGATGGTGTAGGGTTTTTGGCAGATTCGATCTACCACGACGTTGATAGGCCATTTCCTTAAGGTTTCTAAAAAATATAAAACAATACATTATTGTAATTAACACAATGTGGTTTGCAAATATTGATAACCCAGATGAAAACCATCTACTCATCTTCAAATGAAACATCTTAAAAAGGATATTTGATGCAATCTGTAAAAACACCATCTGTAGAAATCACAGGTAGTTCATATAGGATATAATTCGTAAAAATAAGCTAAGATGGACAGGACACCAGTGAAGATAGAATAAACCCTACCCTCATAAATGACCCCCATTATCCATGTAGAATAGAAGTAGGAACAAGACGAGACTAAAGTGACAGGACTGTACAAAAAGTCAACATTTTTAATTTTAAATGAGATATTGAAAAAAAAATACTTGCCTGATACAACCATATCCATATACTTCATTTTGAACAAAGATTCGTAAGTAACTCTCCCATCACATTCTTTCAGCGTTTGTTCGACTTCCTTTCTCAGTCTATTTTGTATATCTGGATGCAATGCCAGTTCGTAGAATAAATATGTCAACAGTAGTGTGACACTATCAAATCCAGCGAAGTAGAAAACAATGGCTTGGGCTATTATGTCCTCATCGGAGATATTCCAAACATTATTATCTGCAAAAAATTAAAAGTATTATATTATATGAGATATTTACAGTGACTACGCAATTCGTCACTGTACAATTTTCTTGGTGATTTCGAAAATAAGTGCTAGATAGCTAGATACTTCCATGAAAGGACCAAAAAGCTCGTTGCATACGGTACAGTCGTGTCACTATCACGGAAGGTAAAAATAAAACTGCGTAGTAACATGATACTATAACAAACATGTTTTATATAGTATCATGGCGTAGTAGTCCCTTCTTAGTCATCTCAAGTTTGCTTACTAAGCATTCCCTTGGATATTTCAATGACTTACAAAATACAAACATTATTAATGTTTGTATTTCGAGAACGATTTCAGAAGTGGAGTTGAAACGTCAAAAAACTTATGTTAACCTTCAAATAGGCTCTATCTTGCATGGGAAAAGAGCTCTAAATCGAGAAGGGGCTTTTCAGTACTTCACAGAAGATGGACTGGGTGGAGGAAGTCCTCAACCCCGACACGGCGCGTCATAATAGCTGATAGAGAACGTTCCTGTAGATATGCAGGTGTGAATAAGGTCCAACCAAATAAGTACCCGCGGGTCAACTGAGGGCATGACATAGGGCAACAGCTATGTCATTATTACACTGGGGCTGTATGATCCATACAGATCTAGTGTAAATTACTCACAGGTGACAACTACATCTTATTTCAACCGGCTGTGAGACTGCGAACAGAAAGGCAACGGAAAACCACCTGATTATCTTTCTAGAGAGCGTTATCAAGGGACGACTAAGTAAAAAAATCTTGTGCTCTGCAATCCGGCTAGCAACCGGCGCCATATCGATTCCGGGTCGAAAGGTGTGAAATGGGCGACTGCGTAGATGATTGTGGAAGACCAGGCAATATCTGTGAAATGGGATACTAAAAGATCAAACTTAACATTACGTAAAAAACACCGCATCGCAACATGGATTATAAGGGGACTGCTACAGCCAGATACATTGTATGAATTAAAAAACATACTGATCTAGGAGAAGATAACGATCTGTGGGATATCTGAGACACACTGGGCAGGCCAAGGACATTGGAAGGATACTCACTACAATGTTTTCATGTCAGGAGCTAACAAATTAGGACAAAAAGGCTTAGCAATAATAATTTAAAAATGTTGGGCAAAATAGCTACGTCAATACCTTCCAGTAAATGATCGAATAATCAAAATAACTTTAAACACCAAACGAGCCAAAATGCATATTAGACGGGTATATAGCCAACATCCGAAGCGGCAGATGATATAGTGGAAGAAACATACCAGCTAATACATGAAACTATCTCTAACATTTCTAACAAAGAACCAATGATGATAATAGGAGACTTGAATGGAAAAATACGAAAAACTAAAATAGATGACCATCTATTGATATAATTGATGTAGATCTACCTTAGAATGTTGCGCATACGATGGACAGCAGCACATACATCGCACAAATAACTCAATTCTAACAGAATTTACCATAAAAACTAGACTCATCACTACTATCAACCAAAATATACTGAGATATTTTGGACATATCAACTAGAAGAAGAGAAGGCATTGAGCGAATGATAGTTGAAGGTAACGTAGTTTGTAAAAGATCAAGAAGAAGATCTGCAGTATAATGGTGGGACCAAATAGAGGAGATGACTGGTTACACATTCTCCGAAGTAAAACAACATGCACAGGAGAAAGATAATTGGACAGAAATGGTCAAAAAAATTACATGACGCCACTACATCCTTACGAAAGAGAAAGGATAGAGGAGGAATCTGCAATTGTGGCTTATTTCTATTAAAATAGTAATTAAAATAAATAAATACCGATTCCGTAATACACACACCAAACGTCGTACCCAACCTTGTCGGTCACGATAATTGGGTGGTATGGTCGGGACGTGTGTAGGGGTTGTTTAAAACGCCTAAATTCTACAGAGTATATTAGTACATAATTTGGGATTAAAGCTAATATATGTAGAACAAAGCAGTAATATGAAATATTTTTTGCGTACCTCCATTAGTCTGTAATTTATTTGCTTCATTTCTTGCTTCCATTAAAAGATGAATCATGTCGTGTCTTATTATACCTTTTTCTTTTCTTAATTTTATGGTTTTCTCTATAATAGAGTGATAGTATTTGCTTTCTTCATCTGATACTATTTTTAAGTTGAGAAGCTACAAAAAATAAATTTATATAAATGTGTAAAATAAGAGCAACTTTAACAAACGAAAACATTTCCCGAGAACAGCTTTTTCCGTGTTATGTCCTCAAGCGCGACTAGTACGCGCTTGAGACGCATCGCCCCGCCCCTCATTTTGCCTATTGGGCCCTGACCTGGAAATCCCTATTTATCGCTACTTCAGCGTATATAAAAATAGGCGATTTTCAGGTCAACCAGGTTTAGTTCGCGGATAAGCTACATTAAGATAAACAGGAATAAAGCGGAGATGCGCTGTCCTGAGTTTTCACATACGGTTAGGAAACCATGTTGGGGTTCTATTACCCAGGACCTCCACATGAAGAGCACTTGGCTGATTGTTGTGCCTCTATAGCGAATCAGATTGCTATAGGGAGGAAAGGGATGGTCTAGAGCATTGGAGCACGGTGGGGTGATTCATGTTTTAACTCGAGTTAAAACACCTTGCTCCAATGAATTGTTACACCCGATCGTACTATCTGGGTGAACATTTCTCATAGGCTTGGTTCAATCAAATTGCTTGCTTGCTTGGTCAACCAGGTCAGCCCCTCACGGGCTCTCCGAGAGCTTAGTGCTTTTAGGGCTCTGCTTCTCTTTTAGCTTTTCCCATACTCTGTGGCTAAGTTATTATTCAACTTTAAACTTGGTGTTTTTTTTCGACGAGCCATCAAAAGAAAACTTTTTACAAGTTCATATCCTGAAAGTGGACTTGGGTAGAGGTGCTTTCGTTGACGTTTTCAAAGCCCTCTACAGAGCACCCGGAGGCAATAGAAGGATATCAGACCACTATTTGTTCCCCCGTGGTGACAGTTTAGAGGTCGCTATTTCTTACTATTCTTTGCTATTTATTCTGCCACACAGTCTTTACCATATTCTCCTCAGTTTTCTTTTGCCTCTCCTTTCATCAACTTCTAACAGCTCTATTCTTCAAATCATTGCAGTTTTTGTTCTAGAATTTTTTTTGGATGACTGTAGTCATCCCGGCTCTTTCCTTAATCAAATTGTCCCTGATTCTTTCTCTTTTAGTCTTACCCAACATGCACCGTAACATTTTCATTTCCGCTACCTTCATCTTTTTTTTTAATCTTATTTACAGGACACACTTCACCGCCGTACACCAAGTACACCGTAGATCAACTTATAATAAATAAAAAGAAGGTTTCTGATAATGATAAGTTAAATAAATATGATTAATTACCTTATATAATCCTGGTATAATCATATACCCAAATAAAGCAAAGTTTTTCCAAAAATTAGTAAAATCCGTAAGTTCGCAACCTTTTTGGTAAAACTCGTTGTTTGCTTCTTCTACAGAATGGACCTCGAACCCGAATGCACAACTACCAATCACATCAGTCGCAAAACGGCTAAAAACATCTTTACATTCTACTTCAACTACTTCGTTGTTATCATTTTTAAAATAGTCGACAAAATGGTCAACACAGTCGATCATTAGGTTAAACATCAGTTTCATTTTGCTGCTGGTAAAGGCCGGAGATAGGACTGGTCGCATCTGCCGCCATTTTGGAACTAAAAAAATATTTAAATATTGTTCATATTAATGTTACTTCTTCACACCATGAAAGAATCAAAAGAAAAGCGAAATATCCTAGAATCAGATTGGATTTATGTTAAGCAGATCAATAACAGATACAATTTTTATTAAGAAGATGGCATACAAAATAAAGGAAGATACGCTCATATCGTATTTGTTAATTTTAAGAAAGCGTATAGGGTACCATTAGGAAACAATCAGAAAAACAAAACAGTTGTGGTAATGGGACTGATTGTAAATGGTGTGATGATGTATGGTGGAATAACAACTACAACACGTGTGGAAAATATTAATAAATTTCTTCAAAAAGTTTATTGTGCATGTTTATTGTGCATATGTGTAGATACATGGGAATGTTCTTAACAGCTGATTAATTTTGTTTTTCTGCAAAATTCATTCATTGCAAGTACCTTTGAAGTCCTTAATTGATACCGTAGTTTCTATATTATGTAATCTGCGTCATAATTATGATCTGGAATATTTATTAAGTCCTTCATTACTTTGTGCTATTTATCTCCGGTAACTGAATAAATGCTTTCTCGGAAGGTATTGATAGCAAGTATAAAAGGATAATACTAAATTTCTCTTTCAAAAAATGTCCTCAAAACAGTCATCTTTATCATAATCTCATTAGCTTACTTTTATTGGTCACTGAATGTAATTGTTTACTCCTTAAAATTAACTTCAATTTACTCGAAAATCACTTTTTTAGGAGGCAGAAATATATATAATATACCTAAATATAAAACGAAAAAAGGCCTTAAATCTAAAAGCAGTTTTTCGTTTTTAGATTAGTTCAAAGATCATGATGTAGAGATAGATAGAGAAGAGATAGATAGATAGATAGATAGATAGATAGATAGATAGATAGATAGATAGATAGATAGATAGATAGATAGATAGATAGATAGATAGATAGATAGATAGATAGATAGATAGATAGATAGATAGATAGATAGATAGATAGATAGATAGATAGATAGATAGATAGATAGATAGATAGATAGATAGATAGATAGAAAGATAGAGAAAATAGCTTTTAACAACAATTATGTAAACTGTATAAAATCTTTAAATTACCTTTTACTGCAAATAGATTTTTAGCCCACAGCGGGTCACTAGTCTCCGGAACATAAGTCCTGTGATCTGGAAAAGTATCAAAATCCTTAATTGCAATTTTCTTAATTAAATCCACATCTTTTATTACTAGTGTAGGGGTGGTAAACTGATAGCATCCTGAATACCTAAAATCATAGAAACGTCTTATGGAAATAAGGAATATACTGATCTATTTTAAAAAATCTTTATTTATAACATATTTATTATTTTGTATTTAAAAAATCTTTACCGTGTGTTAGGGCAGATATCATAGACCCTTTTCACCCATGCAGCTGTACTTTCACGGCGAAGAATAAACCAGAATAAGTCTCCGAATAGCCATACTGTATCACCTTGGGGTACTTTTCTTCTAGTCCAGTAGTTTTGAAGCCAAGTTACGTAATAATAGAGCAAAGAAATGCAAAGGATCAGTAGAACAGGTATCAGCATGTTTTCTCTATCCCAAACACTGGGCGTTCTGTAAAAGAGGATAAAATTTAAAAATTGGATTAAATAATAATTCATACTACTACACTTTCAAGATATCTCAGTCATTATATCGTCGCAAATTATTCTTTCTACCTGTTCAGACTTTTTATTATTTTTTAAAATGACAACCGTGGCAACGATATTTTAAACGACAATGAATAAAGGCTTATAGAGCTAGCATCGACTAACAATATGCTTGTAAAGTCTACTATATATATATATATATATATATATATATATATATATATATATATATATATATATATATATATATATATATAAGGTTCTTGAACTCCTAAGTGGAGCATAGAGCTTCAGTGAAAACGCGCCATCGGGTTCTATTTTGCGCTAAGGCCTTCACCTCATTCCAAGACTTTCCTTGTTTTCTTATCTCGTCAAATAAAGCGTCAGCGCTTTACAAATTTTTGCTCCAATCATAGCTTAATTATTGGTGGAACTATCTTCCCACATAAAAATATTCACAAGGTTACATGGACTGCACCAGGTCATATAAGAGAAAATCAAATAGACCACATCGCCATATCAAAAAGATGGAGATCATCTCTCCTTGATGTACGTAACAAAAGAGGAGCAGACATCGCAAGTGACCATCATCTTGTAATCGGTACCATTAAAATCAAAATGGCAAAAAACAAAATCACACGAAACACCAAACGACCAACATACAATCTAGACAAATTAAAAACGGCTACAGGAAGACACAAGTTTAGGGAGGAACTTCAACTCAAAAGTCTACTATGGTTCAACATAAAACATTCATAAACAGACTTGGGTCTCTAATGACCACTCCACGCGGAAGCAAATTGACCACGTAATTATCGATGCTAGACGTGGAAGTAATGAACTGGATGTAAGAAGCCTCAAGGAAGTAGATAGAGATACAGACTATCACCTAGTAAGAGCAAAAATCAGGTTGAGAATATCTTCAGAGAAACCAAAGGCCAACGAAGCATTGGGATAGTGGAATATCGAGAAAATGCAAAATGAGGAAATCCGAGAAAATTACAAACAAGAAATTAAACTAAATCTAAATCTAATCTAATCAACTAATAATAAATCTAATCAACTAATAATAGGAAAAAGCAGGAAAAGAATAAGGAAATGGTTTGATAGAAAAAGTCAAGAAAAACTACACGACAGACAGATAAAACGTAACATCATGTTTTAACAAGGAACAGCAGAAAGTAAAGAAAATTATGCAACTTCACGCCGACAAACAAGAAAATTAATTAGAGAGAAAAAAGGAAGTACGAACAAAAGAAATATGAAGAAATGAAAAGAAATAAACAACAGTGAAATAGTCGAGCATTTTACAAATCAGTGTCAAACGAAAAGAATGGCTTCAGAACTAGATGCGTGTCTGTACTCAAAAAAAAGAAGAATTAATAATAAATAAAAAAGAACTGCTCCAAACATGGCAAGAATATTTCAAAACTTTACTGTACATACATCAAGAGGAATAACATGATGAAAATATATATTTTAGGGTTGATCTACAAGTAGATCTCAAAATAGATGAAACATTTCAAGCAATTAACAAATTAAAGAACGGAAAAGCTCCAGGCTCTGACAATATACTGCCTACTTAATACGGCATATAAATTCTTATCTAACATCCTATTAAGTAGGCTGACACCGTTTGTAGAAAATTTCATGGGGAATACAAAGCCGGCTTCAGAAAACACAGATCGACTATAGATCAGATCTTTACTCTAAGACAGCTGCTTGAAAAAAGATGGGAATTCAATAGAACTATCCATAATCTCTTTATAGATTTCCGGCAAGCGTACGACAGCAATAATAGGGATCAGATGTGGAATGCAATGGCAGAACTTTCAGTTCCAAAAAAACTTATCCAGCTTGTTAAGGTATGTGTGAATAGCTGTAGATCCAGATAGAGCTGCATACCATGGACAGATAGGGTAAGAAACGAGGAAGTCTTAAGAAAGGCAAATACTGGGAGAGAACTACTCAATTTGATCAAGTCACGAAAAATTGGATACCTCGGCCATATTCTGAGAGGAAAAAAATACGCAATCCCTCAACTAATCATCCAGGGAAAGATTGAAGGCAAGAGTAGTATGTCGCAAACAAATGTCGTGGCTACGAAACATAAAAAACTGGACAGGCATAAATAACACTAGCGATCTTTTGCACGCCGCAAAAGACAGACGTCTGGCCTTAAGATAATTCGCCAACGCACTATATGTGCACGGCACTAGAAGAAGAAGGACTAAATATATTAAATAGATTTTCATGGACAACGGAACCATCACAAATTGATGACGTGGAAGCTCCAATATTATTAAAATCTGAAGTCCAACATGCTATAAATAACTCAAAATCGTTCAGAGCCCCTGGGCCAAATGAAATTCATACCGAGCTGATTAAACTTATAGACGAAGCCAATTTAAGTGCAATAACTATACCCTTTAACAACATATACAAATCTGGTGTGGGATACCTACAGAATCGCTGCTATCGACCTTTGTTTCGCTACCTAAAACCAAAAACCCCATACACTGTAATGAGTATAGATTAATAAGCTTAATGTCACACTTATTAAAAACAGTTTTAAAGATTATACATGCAAGAATATTTAGAAAGTGCAAAGCGGATATGAGTAATAGACAGTTTGGCTTTCGTAACGGCTTCGGAATAGTTGAAGCTCTGTATAGTTTCACAACTCTTGCTCAAAAATGTCGAGACCAACAAAAAGATCTTTTTGTTACGTTTATGGACTATGAGAAGGCTTTCGACAAAGTAAACATAACATTCTCGTGGAATGTATAAAGAGAAAAGAACTCGACAAAAATGACATTACCATAGTGCGAAGTCTCGAGGCGCAACAGATAACTACAGAAGTGAGACAGGGCTGTGTACTTTTACCATTACTATTTAATATATATTCCAATAGTTATTTACGCAACCACTTAAAAACTGTACAGAAGGGATCAAGATAAATGGTGAAAGTATAAATAACATCCGTTGTGCTGACGATATAGATATTATCGCTGAAAGTGAGACAGACCTGCAGATGTTACTAAATACAATTTGTGATATTGGGGAAGAGTTTGGTTTAGCAATAAACATAAAGAAAACAAAAACAATGTTTATAAGTAAGAGGGGCAAAGTCATTACAAGGATCCAGATAGAAAATAAAGATATTGAGCAAGTGGACAAAACGAAATACTTAGGAGTCTGGATTACGGAAGATCTAAGTCTAAAATCAACAATTCCCTCAAGAATAGAGCCATCAAGAGCAGTCTTTTGGAAGATGAGAAAATTTCTGAGTAACCAAACCATCTGCAAATCCGATATCGGATGGTAAAATGTTGTATCCACTTTATTCTTCTTTATAATGTCGAAGCCTGGACTGTTAATGAAGTTAATGAGAAAACTGGAAACTTTTGAGATGTGGCTTTTTGGGAGAATTTTGAAGATACCGTGAACCGATCATATTACGAACGAAATGGAGTTGCATGGGAATAAACAGGGAACTTTTGACCACCATTAAAAGGCAAAAGACAGCATATTTGGGGTACATACTTAGAAATGATAAGCACGAGTTGTTTCAGCTGATTATGAATGGTAAAATCGATGGAAAAAGGGGTCCTGGTAGGCAACAAATATGCTGGCTGAAAAAAATTCGCAACTCGACCGGGTTAAACACACAGACGCTCTTCAGAAAAGCTGGAGATAGAGACGAATTTGCACTGGTTATAGCCAACCTTCATTAGTGGAGACGGCATTAGAAGACGAAGAAGAAGAAGAGCTGCTGTCAATAAAGTAACATAACATCCAACGATCGATAACGGTCATGAAACTACAAGAAAAAAATGCTTAAAATTTCTAACATAAATATAGCACAGACAGCACAGCTCAAATAAATAAAAGAGACTAATTATACAAAGCATTATTTAGGGAAAAAGTATCCAAGAGAAGACGCAAAATAACAGCGCTCAATAATATGAGCCAATTGTATGGTTGGTAACTCTTTAATAATGCAGTGAATCTGCATACGAGCTTCTAATATTTAATTCCTCATAAATCTAATATTTAATCAGTCAGAAAATCACGAAAAAAATATAAATGTAATATCTGCTTAAAAACGCTTTAACAAAATTTGTAATTTTGTAAGTATTTAATATGAGGATCGGGCAAATGACAAATATGAAAAAAAATATCGGGCGTGTAACTCACCTGTCTATCATGCGCTAGATCAACGGTGAATAAGTTGCACAATGCAAATATTTGGGTTTTTAATCAGCCATCGGTATAGGTGATAATTTATTTGATATGCATGGTTTATTTATATACACGTGTATTGATAACATGCATAGAATTTAAAACACATATTGACTTTTTAAATACTAGGTAAGATTAATTTGTTCAAATGTTGTTTTATTTAAATATCAGTTTTTCCCCGGAAAAGAAGCAAAAGATGTAAAGAAAAACAGGCAACGTATCCACTGTGTGGATAGGGTGATGAGTACAGAGAAGTCTTAACCCTTTAATCGGCAAAATAGAAATAGGGGATTAAACTTTCTGAAAATTTTGGTTTCGGGGTAATTTTGGTAAATGAAACACGAATAGAAAGTCCATTTTTCGATATCGTTATTGAGTCAGTCACAAAGTGAAAAAGAAGAATGCCGGCCATACGGCCGGTATATCGTTCTATAGGGGAAAATGAATTAGTCCTTTTTTGTTGCTTATAAAAACATTTAATTTTTTATTGATATAAACTTGATAAAAAAAATTAACAGGTAAATACTAAAAAATGAAATATATTAACGACGGACGTGGTAGTCTTTCCAACAATTCTTGGCACCGGAATAACATAAATGCAGTTGACATTTCGGGCAGAAAGTGTGTGTTTCCGATTTCTTGCAGTATTTGCAGGACTTTTTACGACCTGGAATCCATTCAGGAACATGATCAACTCCATCGTAACGTACATCTTCAACAGGATGCGCTGCCTTGTTGCCAGTATTAGTACTATTAGTAGTGAGCGGTGAGTTTGAAGGTCGACCAATGGGTCTTTTCTGAACAGAAGAGCACAGACCTTGAGCAATTTTCACACGAAATTGGAATAGTCTCATGTTTTTTTTCTTTTGAAGTTCCTTCTTCTTTGAAATCTGTTTTCGCAGCATCCTCATTATGTGATCTGCGATACAATATGAACGCATTTGTGACAGCCATATCCAGAAAATGGTAAAAGATGCGTGTCATTGCATCCATTGTTTTAATGCGCAGTCCACTTCGTCCCATATGCGAGTCCATGAGGTCAACTCCTCCCATATGCGAATTGTACTCACGAATTATTTGGGGGTAGTCGACATCAATGTATTCTTTCTTTCTTTTGTCGTAACGAGTCGTTTTTGCTATCTGTTTGTCTGGATTCAATTTCTGAAATGGTTGGACCCCAACGTAAGTTGAACAAAGTTTTACGTTTTTGGTATCTTTCCAGAGGACAGTGGTAAGGTCCACACCATATGCACAACCCATATACTCCACTGCGTAACCCCGTTCGGCGTTTTTGATTTCTCTATCTGCATCCAGCGGAAGTTTACAATTGGGAATTCTATTTGCACGTATTGTCCCCAGTCCAAAGATTCCACGAGCTCGTAAATAAACTAAAAGGGGCAACGATGTGTAAAAATTGTCACAGTAAACGATATGGTTTTTGAAATTTGGAATTGTTTGTGACAACCTAATAACAACGTTGCTGGTAGCTCCGAGGTCTGGTGTTCCTGGCACGATGATGTTATCTCCAGCACCATTATATATCTCGAATTGGTACGAATATCCCGTGGTATCGCACAGTACAAACAACTTTATTCCCCATTTATGGGGCTTGTTCGGCATGTACTGGCGTAAATGGTGCGCCATTTTTGTCGAACACATTTGCTCGTCAACACATAACCGCGCATTCTTTGGAACGGAATTGAAGCGTTCATTTAAAATATTGGCAACTCTTCTAATTCTAAAAAGCGAATCATGTCCAGGTTGTCCTTTTTGAATACGCTCCGCTTCATTAGCAAAACACAAATATTTTTTTATCCGTTCAAATTTCTTTAATGGCATACACTGAGGAATTTGTCTAAATCCGAATTCTCCCCAGTGTGACTCCATGTTGGGATAACGAAAAATAGACATGTATAATAGAATTCCGATGTATCGTCGAATCTGCACCGCATCAACGTTGAATTGTGTGTTTATGTCTTTCAAACGTGCGTTTCGATTGGTTTCACAAACAATCAGGTCGATGAGTTCATCCGTGAAAAAATAACAAAAATACTCCATTGGTGTCTTCAGATTCTTTACAGTATACGGCAATGTAGTGTTTCCTCGAAATGCGACTTCATTGACATGCAATTGCATTGACTTTTTTCTCCATACAATTTTTGTGAACTCTGCTGAATTTTTGTCGATTGCATCCAAGCCTGAAAGAAAAAAGAGAAAAAAATTAGTATGGCATTATGACTTTCCGTGTTTTATTAGCATACCTGTGCCAGTGAAGCCACCCGCTGATGGTACTATATGTGGTCCCGTAGCTTCTACAGTTGGTAACGGGGATCTGGGTCTTTTCTTTGGTTTGAATTTAGTGGTTGTCGGTAGTTGTGTGGAAGTTGATGCAATTGGTTCTTTTGATGATAACCGTACGGATGATACTGAAACGTCCATTTGAGTATCCGGATCAGTTGTTGAAACTTCTGGTGATATAGTTTCGGATATTATAAGTTCCGGCAAAGTTAATGTTGCCGTTTCAGAAGTAAATATATTTACATGTGATTCTGAAACACCCACTAAATCTTCACTAACATCAGTGATATTACTTAGCTCTAACGGAGGGTCCATGGAGAGCTCCAAATCAGTGATATTTTCACGTAAACAAGAAGAAATCATCTCATCGTCCTCGGCTGTGAGCACATCCGCCTTGTAGTCATAATCCGGATCGGCTATGCTATCATCATCATCTTCGTAAACTGACTCGTCATCTGAATCCAGATTAGAGTTCATGATTTCGTCGATTTGTTCATCGGTTATTGTGGAAAGATCGTATTTTGTCCTCTTTTCCGCGTCTGTCAGCTCGTGATACCTTTTCGCACCATACTTTCTTCGTCTTTGAGATCTATTATTTTCCATGTTCTACGATAGAAAGAAAGAAATGTATAAATAATAAAAGTATAAATAATACAAATATGTACTTTTATTCAAATACGCGGAGAACTTATTTTACCGTACATCGGCAAGCCGGCCGAAAGGCGGGTATCACTCCACACTCAAAAACCAGTACTAATTTTATATTTTTCACCAAATATTCCAGCAAACTATCAAACACATACTATAAGTACTTACCAAAAAAAAATGAAATCAATTGGACAACTAGAACTATTTTATTTTACGGTTCGATTACACGTGTTCCAGAGCAATAATTTCTCCGTACGATTCACTTGCTTGCTTACACGTAACTGACCATATCTCTCAATTAACTGAACCTACAGCTTTTAAACCGTTACTGTTGGACGAGTCTATTCTTGCCGAAAAGCGGTGTAGTCGACGTGAAAGCAAATAAATTTTACATTTTAAAATAATTCGGTTATTTTAATGCCGGCCTTATGGCGGGATTACCGATTAAAGGGTTAAGAAAAAAATTTGTAGAACATTATCAACAAGAATACTCATGATCAAAATTAATAAAGAAATGCAACGAAAGCTCTTGAAAGCAGAACTGACTGTTGCAAAGAAAACGAAAAATAAAGAAGACAGAATAAATGATGAAACAAAACGGTTGATAGAAAAGAGACGCAAATTTCTAAGCGAAGGAAAGCGAAATACCAATAGTTTCAAATAATTGAATAAACAAATAAAGAAGGGAGTAAAGGAAGATTTAAGAATGTATAACGATAACACGGTAAAAAAATAATAGAAAAGAACCGAGGCCTGAAATAAGGAAGATCAAATTTAGGAAAGCCTATAATAATCTCATTAAAGGGTAAATATGGAAACGAAATAAAAGACAAGAACGAAATCCTAAAAATTATTCAAACATTTTACCGTGATTTATATTCCTCTAACAAGGACCCAGATAATACTGCAAAAGATGATCTTAAGAGAAAGATAACAAATGTTAATTCAGAAATACTCCCTAACATAGAACCCTTTTAAATAAAACAAGCTATGATAGAACTAAAGAACAATAAGGCTCCGGGCCCAGATGAAATACTTGTAGAAATGTTGAAGGAGGGAGTGAAATTATTCTCAAAAAATTTAAAAAAATTTTCAACTAATGCCCTTCACAGGGGAGAAGTACCAGATAATTGGAATGAAAGTTTGACAATACAATCTTTAAAACCGCAGACAGGGGAGATCTGAAGATTTATAAGCCAATCTTCCTACTGTCCCAATTGTACAAACTGTTAATAAGAGTAATAACTAAGAGGTTAACGTTGAGGCTCGATAGCTATCAACCGGTAGAGCAGGCAGGATTCCGAAAGGGTTGCAGTACAGCGGATCATCTTACAGTCAGATGGCTAATAGAGAAAGCCAATAAATATCACTTGAAATTATACATTGGCTTCGTAGATTATGAAAAGGCATTTGACTTCATAGAACTTTGCCCGATAGAGAGAGGTACGAACAACTGCAGGATAGACTCCCGATACATGATGCTCATACATAATATTTACAAGAAAGCTACAATGAAAATACTAATAGATGAGAAAATTAAAGCTATACCAATCAACAGAGAAAATCGCCAGTGAGATGTAATCTTACCAAAGCTATTTACACTTGGACTGGAAGACGTGTTTAAAGACATTAACTGAGTAGATAAAGGAATGAATGTTAATGGAAGAAAACTAATTCATTTGAAATACGCTGTTGACATTTTAATATTTGCTACAAGTTTCAAAGAACTACAGACCATCATGACCCAAATATTTCAAGCTTCCAAAGAAGTAGGTTTTAAGATGAACTTAGAAGAAACAAAAATACTGACAAATATACCGAACACTAGAGAAATAACGTTGAACGACATAAATTTAGAAACAGTAAGCGAATACATCTATCTGGGGTAGATAATGAATGGATCTTGAAAAGTACTTCTTCTTTGAGTGACTCTCCTATCGGAGATTGGATATCATTATGGCGATTTTAATTTTATTAACTGCTGTTTTGAATAATTCGCTAGTGGTACAGCCAAACCACTCTGCTTAATTTCTCATCAAGGACATTCTTCTACGGCAGGGTTGTCCAATTGGCGGCC